GCAGCTTTCCAGCCACTCTCCCCCGAGCTCTTACAGCTGCATCCTCCTCTCTCTGAGTTAACTGCTTCAAAGGCCTCAAGAAATTTCTTAATGTGGTACAGGAAGACCAAACGCCCTTTTGGTACATTTCTCCTTAAAGCCTTCCTTTTCTCTCCGAGTGATCCACATCTTGCAGCCCGGTTGCAGGGGTCAGATAGCAGAAGACTGGTCAGGTGATATGTTTGCACTGCTGCATTTGCTTCTTCTCTGAACCATGTCTTCTTGTGAAGTCAGTTCAGCCCATGTGAAAACTCTGAGGATGCTTTGCTGACTCCATACTGCAGTGGGCAGCTCTGGAGAACTAACGTCTTGCTAGTCACAGGTTGCGCCTCACTTTAAAATCGTCTCTGTTCCCCATCCAGGCAGGAAACACTGGATAAGCTGCTGGCTGTGGTGCAGGGTCAGGACTTGATTGAATTTGGCAAAGAAGGATAAATTAAAAAATCGACAGCCTGATTTCTGTGTGGTTCACTTACAGCTCAGTCTCCAGTACGTCTCACAGTGCTCTTTGTCTTTTAGGTGAGGTGGCTGCTGTCTGCAATGGGAAGATCAACCAGTCCCAGTCTACTGAGGAGGCAACAGAAGCTATGGAGGTCCCAGAGAACGGTACAGGCGAGGCAGAGCTTGCCCAGCCCCGGCCTGGGCCCCTCACGGAGCACGTGTTCACTGATCCAGTCCCTGCACAGGCGCCTCTTAGGCAGAATGGGTAGGCAGCCTGGGGCCAAAGTGCCAGTTCAGTTACTTATCAGCTCTGCTCTCATAAGCTTTTTGATATGGTAACCAGCCTGATCTTCTGATAGTGTCAAACTTTTTTCAGTTTTGTGCCCAAATAGCATTACAGATGGGATGGTAGGAAGAGAAAGAATTAAATTATAATAAACATGTTTCAGCCTATAGCAGACTGTGTCAGCTGTTTAGGTGCAAGTATTTGATCTCAGTATGAATTTAGACCTGCTGTTAAGAGAGATCTTCCAAAGTACATGTGCACTTCATGTTCTTACTGAAGGAGCTGATTGATTCATGTATAAAAATGATGATTGATTTATTCTAGTAGTACCTCTAATGTTCTGTAAAGTTGACGAAGAAAGCATATTCACCATCCAAAAATTCTTAAGACAAATGAGTCTGATGTGATGGCCTGAGGAGCAAGGTGGAAGTCTTGGGTAGAAATTGTTCCTAAATGACCAAGTTGTTCTTTCTGTTGAAGTTGGAAATGAAGAGGGAAAATATTGTTTTTATAATAAGACTGCCAAACATTAAGTTCTATAGATTTCAAGTACTTGCTATTTGTATTGGTGGGGAAGAAAGGAAGTTTTGCAAATCGCAGATTCAGGAGTCAAGCAATTAAAAACACAGCAGAGAAGGAAGCTGTTTGTTTATACAAGTGCCCTTATCTGCTTATGAATGCCAGACTGTGAGCATAGATGGACGTTCTGTGCATTGCTGCTAAAGACTCTAACAATGTGCTTTTGTCTCTTCAGGGAGAATGGGCAGCTGAAGACAGAGTCAAGCACAACACTGCCAGATCAGGAGGTGAATGGGGACGCTGCTGGGACTTGCACCAGCGCTGCCCCCACCATGTGGCTGGGAGCACAGAACGGCTGGTAGGTTCCCCTTGGACTGGCAGATCTCTCTGTCACCTTCATTCTCTGGGCTCCACTTTTCGTGTCTGCACACGTTAGTTCATTTAGTGTTCCTGGAGCAGGTTTTCATTGCTCATTGTTGTTCTGAGCCCTCAGCTCATCACAGGCACAGGGATTTAACCTCACTTTCTTACCTAACCTCCACCTTTCCTACCTACGAGAAGACAAGACTCAAGCCTAGTCAGGCTGAAGGTGTGGGGCCTTGCTGCTAATCCTCCCCGTCTTTTCCTTTCTCACAGGCTTTACGTCCACTCGGCTGTATCCAACTGGAAGAAGTGTCTGCACTCCATAAAGCTGAAGGACTCTGTACTGAGTCTAGTGTAAGTGTGCATACCAAGGGGTGCTGAAGGAGAAAGTTAGATGAGGGTGGCAGCTTTTTGTCAGTCGTCTTTTTCTTTGCTCTTCTAAGTGCATTGGTTTGTGAGAAAAGTTTCCCAAGGTTTTTCTTATGGAAAGCCTCATACTGAGCCTTTTTCCTGCTCAAATACAGACTTTCAACTACAGACTTGACCCAAATCACTGAATAAGGTGCTAAATGAGATTAGCAGTATGAGGAGGAAATAAGTGGGGAGAAAAAAGGCAACATTTCAGTGGGGTGTGAATTAGGTGGAACTTGTTGAAATTGATGGAGTTTGTAGTGTGAAGGAGAAGTTATCAGGAAATTGATGGATGATCTTACAACAACAAAGGTAGGGGGTATGACCCTTGGCCCTTGCAGGATGTTCTTGCCAGTCCTAAACTGAATGGGAATTGTAGAGAGAACATAAAGATGGTGTGCATAGATGTCAGAAAGGATTTGTTAGTCCCTTACTTCTACTGATTTTTCTAAGTATTTACTTTTCTGTGATTTCAGGCATGTGAAAGGGAGAGTTCTTGTTGCTCTGGCAGATGGAACACTAGCCATATTCCACCGGGGAGAAGGTAAGAATCAACATAGTAAGAGAAAACCAAACTCGTCCAGAAGTGTAGCAATGGATTAAATGCTGTTCTGAGTGGAGAAGGAAAGGTGCTGGCCTGCCAGACTACATGGTTAAAATGCATAGCTATTATGCACATATAATCCTTATCCTAAAACATCTAAGGCATACTTTAACACTATTTCCTGAGCTTTTCTGCAGCATGTGTTCTGTGTAGCACACGCAGAGTAAATGCAACACATTTCAGGAATATGTATGCTGTGCAGTTGTTTGAGGCTTGCTTGGTAAGTTGTGCTGTTGTGCTGTATCAGTGTTCCTGTGCATTCACAAATCACCTGTAATGAGGCATGCACATGGAGCTCCATGCAGCTCAGGCTGTACCCCAGCAGATCATCTGTGCAGTTGCAAATAGGCCTGCTGCTTTCCAGAGAAGTTGGACTGTGCGTAAGTAGTGGAACTGATCACTGTGTACACAGCAGGCAGAGCTGGGATTCTCTGGAAGTCTGGAAATCGCAAAAAAATGTGAGTCTTTGCGTTACACTTGGTCAGTTTTTCTTCTTGCAGAAAAGAGATGTCTGAGTAATCTGACGTGCCTTAATCTTGTCACTTCAAGATATTTTTTGAATTCTGTATTTCTTGTCCTTTCCAGTCTTGTTGGTTTTGTTTCCCTATGACTTGAGCAGTTCCTGAGCTGTGTTCATACCTGAAAGCACATGGGAATTTGCTAACTAGGACTAATGCTTGCATATCAAGAACTTAGTTATTCATTGAGTAGCAGTTTATCCAGCAAGCTGAAATATAGAGATTTCTGGTTTTGTACAATCTAAATTTTGATTCAGCCTTTGTCCTGAGTTCAAGGCTGACTATTGACATATAAAAATTGTTCCCATCAGAAACAGGATAAAGTTTCGTGACACAGAGGCCACCTGTCCGTGAAGGACACAGTATCTGCCTGGTTAGTTAGCAGATAAGCATGAGAGAAGGAAGACTGATTCCTTACCCTGGATTTGACACTTTGGGGAAATTGTGTTGTCCATCTGTGGTACGAGGAAGCCTCACCACAAGGTCCATTTCCTTTTAAGTTTCTGCACAGTCTTGTTAGGCTGTCTTTCTTCTTCCCCTGCTGTTTTTATTGTACTTGTTAGAGAAGCCTGTTCACTTCATTGCAATAAAAGGATGTTTAAATTAGCCTATTTTGGAGAGCTTTCAGCCCACCAAACTAAACTTTATTATCATATGTTTTGTAAGTATAAGGCTGTGCCTGAAGTAGTATGGGTTCGTGGGAAGTTAACAAACAAAAGCAAAATGAGCATTTCAGTATTAGCTAAGCCTGTATACCTAGATTTACATGGAACGGTGGATGATTCTATTGTATACTGACATGTCATGAATAAGAAACATCTTTCCACACTTGTTTTTCACTGCAGATGGTCAGTGGGATCTCAGTAATTACCACCTAATGGACCTGGGTCACACTCACCATTCCATCCGCTGCATGGCGGTTGTGTATGATAGAGTCTGGTGTGGCTACAAGAACAAAATCCATGTTATCCAACCTAAGACAATGCAGATTGAGGTAAGACAGCACACGCATGTGTATGCATGCACATGCTTGCGTTCTGTTTATTCTCAGAGCTGTTGTGTATAGAAATGCAGAACCTTGGGATTGTCATTGCTGACTGTAGGACCCAAGCTGTCGAGCTGGCTCATGTTATGACCCAGTCAGCCAGGGCAATATTTATTCCTTCCTCCCTTTGCAGAGCTTAAATCTTTAGATCTAAACTGAGCACTTTCTTTGCCTTTACTAGTGAGTCTATGAGGCCACGTGCTGTACAAATGTACATGCCTGCTTTACAGCTACCCTTCGTATATGGTCTAAGACTTCTTAATCTGTAGGCATTGTGGCACAAAAGAAGGTACAGTTAGTAAGCCTCAGTGATCCCACTTGCCTACGAAAAAAATGATGTTTAGAGCCTTTTGGTTGAAATTTAATACAGTGGTGTTGGTACAAACCTATTGGACAATGCTTGGAATAATTCTAATCAAAGGGAGAAGAAGTGCTGCATCTGAAGTTCACATCAGTGAGCCAATGCAGTCTGATCTTTGCAATTTATACTGGAGTTGTGTGTTTTCCTTTTCTACCAAGCACATTGGTTTCTAAATTTTCTTGTTCCTGAAGTGGTCTGCAAAGACTGTAATCTCTGCAGACCTGCTATACAACTCATCATTTCAAGTGAGGGATTTTCTGTATACTGTAGTGAACTTCTGAGGTCAGATGGTATTAACATATTTTCTCCAAGAGGTTTTAAACCCAAACAAGTGATCTCAGTTGAGGAAAAGTGAATATTGTGTAGATGATTGCAAACCTTTTCTGAACTCATATTGGTCCACCTATTTGGCATTTCAGAAATCCTTTGATGCCCACCCTCGGCGGGAGAGTCAAGTGCGACAGCTGGCGTGGATTGGAGATGGAGTATGGGTTTCTATCCGCCTGGACTCCACTCTGAGGCTTTACCATGCCCACAGCCATCAACATCTGCAAGATGTCGACATTGAGCCTTATGTCAGCAAGATGCTGGGTGAGGCTGTAGGGACTGTCAGTAAACAGTCTGTTGCTTACTGAGATCAGAAAGAGATAAAAATTCATTAGCAGACCTTGCCCAAAGTCATAACTGACTTTCAATTCTTCTGCATGCTTCCTAGGCACAGGAAAGCTGGGATTCTCGTTTGTGCGGATTACAGCCCTGCTCATTGCTGGCAACCGCCTCTGGGTAGGGACAGGGAACGGCGTCGTCATCTCCATTCCATTGACTGAGAGTAAGTGATGTTTATTGGAGACACTTCTGCATCTTCCCCCTAAAAAAAGAACGCTTTTGTGTGTTACTGGTGCAACATGGCGGATGGCTCTGTCAGGCTAACGCTTTTGGACATTTTTACGCTGAACATGAGACACCTTTGATGACAGCAGTGTTCAGAGAGAAGAGCCCTGAGTATGAGCAGCCCTGAACTTGGTTTAACTCTTCCTTATTAAGGAATTAAGTGTTCATCAGACCGGATTTCAAACCCAAAACCTGTTTAAAACTAAATAGGTATTTGTTATTGTCCCTTTCAGTTCAGTTGAAGCCATTTCCTTCTTGGGGAACCAATGACATCTCTACCATCCATACAGTCTTCTTTTTTTGAGCCTGACCTTGACAGAGCAGACTGAGGTGAACTGATTCTGTAGTTAGTGGAAAGCAGGAGAAACAAAGCTTTGTGAATTGTAGTGAGTCACCAAAAGGAGGCCATGGGATGAGAAGTCACCAGGAAGATCTCCCTGAAAATCTTGTTTTGCATAGACATCTAAATGTCTCCATAAGAGTATTTTCCAGAAACTGACCTTAGAAAAGCCTCATTTACTCAAATTAGGGCTCAGCTTTATCAATCAAGGAGAAATCAGTATCCTACGGCAAATCCATCCTGGTGAGGAGACCCAGCAGTAGTAGTTAATAGGTGCGTCTCTGGAGCTGGAAGTTTAGTTGAACCTCTTGGTAATCCTGTTCTGTACCTGCCAGTCAGCATGTAATTTTGAAGGTCCGATACAGATTATAATGAGGGAGTAGGATTTGAAGCTAATTGCAATTGCTTTCAACAGAAAGCAGCCAAACGTACATTTTCCTGCGACTGCTTGCAGGAGAGCTGAGAAGCAAATGGTTCTTGTATAAGAGAAGCAAACCTGTTGTAATCTTCCTGGAAGACAAGGCCAAGATGGTCTCCTCTAAGGCTGGTGGAGCTGGATGTGCCTGGGGCTGACATCAGGAAGCCAGTGACACAGTCATCTTTGTGCATTGCAATCTCAGTCTCATTTCTGAATCTTTGTTTTAAAGCCCATTCCTTCTTGAAGCTGCTGTTGTAATTCTGAGTTAAGCTTGTTCCCGGTTGTAAACCAGTTGCATTATCTTTTGGTGTTTCTGTACAAATGTGGTAAGCAGTAAGGTCTCACTAGAGACTTTAGCAAAGGATCCTTGTGACCATGGTCCCTCTCCCATCTCAGGTATGACATTTGTCCTTGGAAGATAAGAGCAAAGTGAGCAAGAATAGCATTTCTCTAGATTTTATACATTTCCGTTGCTCCTTGAATTTTCTGCCAGTAATCACCTTTTTCTTCTCTCCCGTCCTGCCTGTCTCTTTCCGTGCCCCTCTGTGTTCCTACTCCTTGCCTGTGCCTAGCTGTAGTCCTCCACCGAGGCCAACTCCTTGGGCTCCGGGGTAAGTCCATTGCCTCCTTCCTTCAGCTTTACTCCTGTTGCACCCATTCCCCTTTGCGGCCACTTTCCCACCCTCCCATCCTGCCATTCAGCTCTCTCCATCCATCTTTCCTCATCACTCTTTCATTTTGTTGCATCTGAGAAAAGCAACCAGAGACAGTAATGTAAATATCCTCATTTACCATTTTGCTAAAAACATTTTCATCCATCTCATCAGCCATCCCTCTGGGCTTTTTGTGTTAAGAGTACTTCATTCTTCATCACAAGTTCCCTTATTGTGGTAGGCCAGGATTGACACGGGAACTGTAAAGGCTTGTTCAGACAGAGAGTTCCAGGAAGAAGGAGTAGACTTCCAGTGTTCTTCCAAGGTCTTCCTTGGTCGTCCTTGGTTTTCCAAGGATGCTTCTCTTGTTGGTTTCAGGCCAGTGGCAGCAGGTGCTGTGGCATCTGCCAGCTGCAAGTAATAATCAAGACGTTTAACCAGAGGGGACTTTGATAAACAGTAACCGTTGTTTGGTTTTGTGCCAGTTAAGGCAGGGTCTGAGGTCAAATTTATGCTTGCCTTAGCTTTTCCAGGGTCAGAAATTAGTATTTTTTCCTCATTGTAAGGCATTTCTTTGGCTATCCAGAAGCTTTATCAAGGTGTGTCTCCTACTTTTAAAGCATCTGATATTGGTTGCAGTAAAAAGCCATCCACTTGTAGCTGCTCACAGCAAACCAAACCACAGAGGTGCAGAGAGCCTTCATCCTGGGGATCTTCCCTCCCTCTGCATACACTGATTCTCATTCTTCCAACAAAATATTTGTACTTGTCTCACCATCCTGGCTTGAGCCTGATGGGTAAAAGTCTCCTTTGTCCAAGTCACGTAATAATTGAAATCCAGCCCATGCCAAAATACAGATAATTAAGCAAGCAATTCAGGTTCTCTCACAGGAAGTAGTTTCTGTTTTACTGATGTGGGTGCAAGTGGAAGGAAAGCATCTCCCATCCTGAGCTCTGAGCACTGGTCTCTGTTCCTTGGAGAGCAGAAGCATTCACATTCTTGGAGCCTGGACATGAAAGGTGCAGGCCCCTGTGCCCACCTTGAAATCCTTGGAAGCTGTGGATGGTGAACATCTTTCAGGTGTTCGTTGAGTAGCTGATCTTCTGGTGTCATGGCTAAATCAAGGACGAAGGAAGGACTTCACTCCGCTGCTGTGACATTTACTGGGCTGAGAGGTCTACACCAGACCCGGAGGCTGCTTTGAGCAGCCTGTGTGCTTACGGCTTGGTGTGAGCAAAGGACTTGGCTTGGAAATGGGGAACTTGACCAATCCAGAAAATAGCAGTAATTCTCCTCCAGGCGCCTTCAATGTCTGGTTGGTACGGTGGCGACCTTTGGATACCCTGCCAGGTACAAAAGAGCAGAGTTGATCCTGGGACCGTAGGTGATTTCTGGAGGCTGGGCAGGATTGCTGCTGGTGAAGAGGCCTTCACTGGGACACCTCAGAGACTGCGTCTTGCTTGCCCTAGGGTCACTCTTGGCCAGCACCTCCAGGGATGTGTGCCTCATTAGCCAAATACTAGATTTGATGAGAAAAGGTAGTTTTTTATCATGAGTAGATTGTTACCAGCCCAAGAGAGAGGGACTGTGCAATGGTCTCCTTCATCACGTCCTTTACACAAGACCTTTAAAGAGACCTGCACCTTTAAAGGTTTTCCTTCATGGCTTACGAATTCTCTCTTAGACTGAGTCTGTAAATGGGACTCAATGCTATCGCTGACAATATTCCTCCTCACTATCCCCAGCCAACAAGACTTCACCGACCTCTGGAGAGGGCAGCCGCTCTGGTGGGGTCATTCACGTGTACGGTGATGACAACAGTGACAAATCTGCCAGCAGTTTCATTCCCTATTGCTCCATGGCTCAGGCACAGCTCTGCTTCCACGGCCACCGTGATGCTGTCAAGTTCTTCGTCTCTGTGCCTGGTAAGAATGAGCACAGCCCTTCCTTGTGAGGGTCTTGTCCTGCCATCCATTCTGCAGCAGGAGTTGGAGCTGATCTGCAGCAGACAGCCGTCCGGGCTGTTTCTAGAACTTGCAGATCACCATGGCTCAGACATCAGTCGTTTAAACTGCACTTTGAGTTGACTTCCAGATTTCACCAGCAGAAGGGACTGGTCTGCCCAGTTGTGTGTGTGTGTGTGTGAACTGCATGGGGCTGAGCAGAGGCACTGACAGCACCTTTGTCCTCTCCAGGCAATGTCCTAGCAACCCTGAACGGGAGTGTGTTGGACAGCCCTTCGGAGAACCCCAGCACAGCGGCCACAGAGACCGAGGGGCAGAAGCTGAAGAATGTCCTGGTGCTGAGCGGAGGAGAAGGGTACATCGATTTCCGGATCGGTGAGTGCCTGTGGTGGGAGGCGTGTGGAATGGGAGGGGGTGCGGGGCCGTGGTTGTGGAGAAGAGGGATCACTGCTGTGGGGAGCAAAATCTGGAAAACAGTGCTGTCTGTTTCTCCTGTCTCTGGCTGTGAGGGCAGATAGCAAGCATTTTCCTCGCCTAGCACAAGACTGCCAAACTCTGTCCCTGCCTGCGCCTGCAGTGCCACACAGTCTGCGTTAATGGCCCTGGAAAGAATAAAACCATCTATGCCACTGGCTCCAGACATCGCTGCCCCACTGCGGTCACCTGTGCTGCTCAAGAGTGCTCTGTGTTGTTAACATTGGCTTCCCTGAAAGGAAGGGTGGTTTTTCCCTACTGCTGGAGATGGTTTGTTCCATCCGTACCGTCCTCCTTCAAAAAAGCACCACATTGGTATAAATGTTCTGAGGCATAAAGGAAGGTCTCAGCTCATGCCATCTGTTGTCAGACTGCCGAGGCTGTAGCCAGCGATACGGCTGTAGCCAGCCTCTTTGGAAGCATTCCAGAGCAGTGCAGTTTCTTTCTTGCCTTTTTTTACTCTCCATTTTTTCTCTTCAGGGGATGGAGAAGATGATGAGACAGAGGAGAATGCAGGAGATGCCACCCAGGTGAAGCCAGTACTTTCCAAGGCTGAAAGGAGCCACATTATTGTGTGGCAGGTCTCATATATCCCTGAGTGAGAATTTCTCCTTTCCCACCAATGTAAGTGTCCCTCCTCCCGACTGAATGCCAAGATGTACATATGGAACGCCTGCATTATACCTACTGCTGGAAACCAACCCCAGACAACTGCAATGGCTCCTGCCTCGGACTGTGACCCCCTTCTAACCTCTGAACTTGCAGCTTTCATCTTGGGCCCGTGCGCTTTCTGCGTGGTTGGATTCTTGTTCTGCTCTGGAGCTGGCATCTACAAGGAGAGAAATGGCAGCGCATCAGTGAAGTGAAGCTTGGAGCTACAACTGTGCAATGCCTTTGCCCAGTGCCCAGGAGCTGTCAGCTGGCTGGGTGGGGGCTCAGGTTCTCCAGCGGGTTGCTTCACTCCCACCTGCATGAGAAGAAGTCCACCCCCCGGCATCCCCCACCAAAGCAGTGATGGGGAATCACAGCTTCTGCAGCACCCTTGCAGAAATCCTTTCTAGTTCACCAGTGGGCTCCCCACTTTATCCACCTTTAAGCACAGAATAATGTCCCACAGGCTGAGAGCAGCCAGGTCCAAGGAATCCTGAAGAGAAAGGGGTGTCAGGGTTTGGGCAGCACTCCTGCTGCTTGGCTGGAGAAGGCAGCAGTGCCCTTAGGGGAACACATCCTCCATGCTTGCAGATGGAGCATATCTCTCCTCTGCTGCTCTAGTCTCAGCAGTCACGTGCTGGATGACTCTGGGTGTCCAGAGAGGACTGTGTTTGATTGCCTCAGATGGGAGACGGATGTTTGGTTGTGGAGGCCACAGGGCCTTTGGCAACTGTGGTAGGAAAGGTCTACTGGAATCTTGCTTTTTTAAGACCAGAAAAGGCAGCGATACTTTTAACTCCCCCTTCCAAAAATGCCAGGTAGAAAACAACTCTTGAGTTTGCTCTGAAAGGTTCAGGAGAAAGCTGTCTCTGCAGAGCATTTGTTGGCTTTTAAAATACAGACGAGGGCAGATGATGCGGGTCTGCTGTGACTTCGGCATTAACACCTTGAGATTACCTTAACTCCTAAGGCTGTGTCCCCATCCCGGGAACGGCTGGAAGGAGGTGGCTGTCTTCCGTCACACGCTGGTTGTTAGGAAGGACTCTGTAGGTGCAGTCAATGTGTAGAAAAGCTGTGTCTCCCCTGAGGTCACACAGAAAAAGGAATTGAGGCCAGATCACCCAACCTCTTTTACCTGACATTGTGAGCACTGACTTTGTTACTAGGTAGTTTGAAAAGCTGGAAATTTCTGCTCCTGAAAATAATTGACAAGCCCTGAGAAAAATTCTGACAGCCCTCCTTGTGTAAGCAGTGCTGGGGGATTGCAAACGTGCAGCCTGCTTGCAAGAGAAGTGGCAAAAAATGGGGCCAGGGAGAGTGGTTTTGAGCTGCAGATGCAGAACATGGCAGCTCTAGATGCAGAGGCGATGGTTTGTCCTCCCTTTCTGAGTGTTTCCTTTGAACACTCCCTCCTGGATGTGCAGGACGAGAGCAAGGAACAGTTTTTAGTGATGAATTTGGAAGCTCCTCATGGTCATCTTTTTTTTTCCCTGAGCTGTGCAGCACTCCAGGGTTCACAGGGATGTCCTCGTGCCAGTGCGGTGGTATGGGGACGCCTGGGGGAAGCCTCCATCTTCTGGGAAGCTCCCAGCTGTGTCCTGGTCATGCTGCCGTGAACCACACTGCTGCCAGGGCCTGTGGTCTAAAGCTCCTCGTGTGCTGCAGGGATGCAGTATTTCCAGGGGAAGCTCCAACACGTGGCATTTGTCCTGATGCAGCAGCACTGACGTGATTTTGGGATACACAGTTCAGAAGAGGCTGGGGCATGCATTTCCCCTGCAAGGAGGCATGAGGACATCTCTGGAGAACGCAGGCCTCAGCCACCAAAGTGTGGAGCCACAGTGGTGCCCATGCTGCCATCAGCGGTGCTGTTAACACGTGCACCCACACCAGTCTTCACTAAGGAAGGAAACCAGCTAGCCAGTCGCTGGCACATGGGGCTCTGCAGCTGGCACGTGACTGAGGGATGCTTGGAGCCACCACCTGCATGCAGGGGGACGTTTCACCAGGAAATGGGGCACTGCTGACTCTCCCAGACTTCTTGTTCTCTTTCCCAAAATGCTTTCTGCTAGGAGGAGCTCTTTGGATCACAACACAAAGTGCATTAAAGTTAAAAACAGCCAACATTTACACCACAGATTCCACAGACTTTTAACAGTTCATCAGTTAGGGATAGGTAAACTTCGTGATTTGGGCTAATTGATGTTTAAATAGAAAGCCCTGGCAGGCCCAGTTCCATAGCTCTATCGACTCTTCCGTAGGAAAATGCAGAATTGCAACACTCTTGCCTCCTCCTGTTTGTTCTCTGGTTTTAGCAGTCGAAGTGACAGTCTCCTGTCACCCACTGGGCCCTGTCAACATCAGGAAACTGGTCTCAGACCTCTATCGCCAGGTTCCTTTCCAGCTCAGTGCATGTTTTCCTCCAAGAGAAGCACATGTCCAAGAGGGGCAGCTACAGCTGAGCAGAACCAGCCTCTGCCATCAGCTCCTGTGGGCGTTTGGTGGCTGCTGGGCAGCAAGGTGAGAACTGACCAGCTTCAACACACTTCCCTGTCATATCTCCACTGTGATGTATGTAAAGTATCTTGTATGTTACAAAAGGATTTTAAAGTGTCTTAAGGGCTGTAAACTCCGCTGTTTGGTCTGAAGATGGCATTCTGTAAAGAGACTGCTGTATGAATATGTTCCCATGCTTTGTCCCCTATGCTATCAAACAACAAACCATATCTGTTCTGTATGTAATAAATGTGTTAACATTAGCACGTGCAGCCTCTCTCGTTCCTATAACGGCACTGGGATTTCTGCACCATCTTTAATAAACAGCAAGACACTTACAAGGGTGGGAATGGCAGCTGATGCGTTCACCACTGAGCAGTTCAGCGGCAAGAAAGGAGATGTGGATTGCTCACTGGGTCAGAGCAGAAGGGGCTGGTCCTGCAAGCCACAATGCAATCTGTAACTTCTCCCAGCATCAGAAATAAAAGGCGGAAAAGAACCATTCTGCTGGCTAGCTGCAGCTGTCCTCGTGGTGTCCCCTTCAGGGGAGCTGCCAGGGTGAACACATCCTGCTCAGCTCTCACTGCTCAATGTGCCAACATCCCCTATCAGTACAGGGTGGTACCTCACAGAGCCCCACAGGAGTCGGTGACATTCAGCACTGCAGGAAGCAGCTGCCTTTCAGTCCCGGCTGCACTTAGACACGTTCTGTATTTATTCTGTAGAACTGCATTGATTTAAGAGCTGTACATAGCAATTACAGACAAGGGGGCCGCCTCCTTATGCTGGGAGCAGCTTCTGCCCTGAGCAGCTCCCTGACCAACACCCGCACTGCCTCCTGGGTGCAGAGGAGCCCCTCAGCCATGAGGGCTGGGAACAGCCGCTGGGACCCGTCCCGCACCCCTGCGGTTGCACCTTTGGATGCGGCCAGGAGCGGTGTGACCAAGGCACTGGGTGAAGTGTGGCCTTGGCTGGCGCCCAGCTGGGTGGCTGAGGAAGGGGCTCAGTGCCCGCATCCCTCAGACGTCCCCCCCATGCTGTTAAAGACCCAGGATGTTAATGCACAGGTTGGAGAGGTCCAGCAGAGCTCCTAGCAAGTTCTAGGCATTGAATCCACCGCATGGCAAACTGGGGCTGTACAGCTTTCCACAACGGGACCTTCGCAATTGGACAAGTCTCTCTGGCTGCCCAGGGCTCTGTGTGAAGAGCCCTCCTCCCAGCTCAAGGCCGTGATTGTCCTGATCAGCCCCACCCAGGCCCCCACCCATACAGGGACCCTTTCCACCAGTGCAAGGCCCCAGAGCCTCATCCAGCGCCAGCTGGGGCCTTCGCTCCTTGCCTGAGCTGTGCTGTAGCTGCCCCTGTCTCCAGCTGCTCCTAGATGGACCCTTTGGACTGGATGATGTTCAAAGGTCCCTTCCAACCCATTCTACAATTCTGTGCCTCACAATGTATTATCTCCTTCTGCTTTTGCTCCTGGCTGGGCTCCCTGGCTGGGCTCTGGTCGTGGGTCAGTTCTTGCCTTGTCTGGGGTTGTTGCTGGACTCTTGCCAGCACGGGGCTCTGCTCACCGTGGCCAGACTGGGTGGGCCTGTGCGCTGACAGGGAGGGCACTGCTCGCGCTGTGGTTGTGTTCAGCTCCCGGCTGTGCAGGCCGTGACTAGATTGTTCACTTGTCCCATCTAACTCCCCTCTGCGCCTCCTCTCCCACCTGGCTCATCCCTGGTCGGTGTGCTGGCTCTGTGGCACTAATGTCGCAGTAGGGACAGCAAGGCACCAGCCCGGCTCGGCAGCTGGCAGCAGAGGCTGTGGAACCAGAGGAGCTGTTTTCCATCAGCTGCAGCAGGAAGTCTCACGGCTTCAGACTGTGCAGCAACACTCTGGATTTTCCCTCCCCCGCACTCTGTCATTGCTTCTGAAGCCAGTGAAGCAGCCCTGGCATGTGCCTTGCAGTGCTCCTGCCGCAACAGCAGGAAAGAGCCCAGATCCTCCCAGCCTTCATGTCTTCCCGCAGGACCAGCTGTTAACTCATGAGAAAAACCTTTCCTCGTATCCCACAGGATAGGGTCCCAGGGTGAGGAACTCCACAGCAGGCCCAGTGGCCGATGTTAATCCATTTGCTCCTGCCTGATGGCAGCCTTTTTCCTGGAGGGTGAGGCTGCGTGCTTGCCTGTCCCATCCAGGCCTGCCATGCGCACTGGGCAGGGCACGGACTCAGTTTTTCAGTAAAATGCTCAGTAAGTGCCTTCAGGCTGCTTGTGATTTCAGGAGGCTGCAGCAAAGGGAACAGCACCTCTTGACTGCCTGCTGCAGCAGAGAAGAGAACTAAATAGCTGGTTCTGCGGGATGCTGAGCTGAAGGGTCACAGACCCAGAACAGCTCTTGCCCCCTCCCCATACACGGGAGGTCCCAGAAGACTGGAAACT